GCTGCCCGGATGAGCCGTTCTCCTGGCCCGCGTGCTCCTTCTCCCGGCGGGTTGGTGACACCCCCGGGTTTCTGCGTGTCCCCCAGGGCCACCTGGGCCGCTGACCAGTGCCTCCCGGGTGTGCAGTGTGGACAGCGCCCGGAGGCAGGCGGTGGGCAGGAGTGGGTTTCAGTTTGGTGGCGTTTTGTTTCCACAGCCCAGCGGCTTCTCCGCCCAGCGTCGTGTCCTGGGTTCGACCCCAGCAGATGCTGGGCCGGGGCGTCCTGGTCTGTGGGAGACGAGGGGAGCCTGGGCCACTGCGTCTGCCTGTCGCCCTGGGCCCATAGGGGGTAGGAAGGACACGCGAAGTGACAACATTGTCTGGTTCTGAAGTCAGTCCTTTCTCACAACGAGACGAAATCCTTCTGACAACTGGCGTGCACTGGCTGAGCACTGGGCCAGCCTGACTGTGGCACGTGTCCTCTGCCCACCCTGGTGTCCCTCTTCATGTCCCCAGAGAACCTTGCCCCGGGCTTTGCGGCTGCGGGGTGGACATGTGAGAACCAGGAGGCTGGGGGCGGGCCTGTCTTCAGAGGGTGAGCCACGCTTTAGTTCCGGCTGGCACTGTAAAGCGTTCAACATGCTCTCCGTGACGCTGGTTTGAACCGGGCTGGTTTCTCCCGCGCTCACCTGCGCTGTCATTTCATGGACGGTCCTTGGCCCAAGCCAGGTTCTGAACACGAGGCAGAAAGTGACCCCAATGGCAGCTTCAGTGGGTCTTGACAGGACCTGAATCAGCCTGGATATCTTCGGATTGTTAAGAAAAAGTCGCGGGAAATATCTTCATTGCATGTAAATGTAGTCCTTTGAAGAGTGAAACAGTTGGGATTTGAATACGGTTTGGCGGTTTGGCGGGTGAGGAAAGCAACCAGGTGGGAGAGAGGAGGGAGGGGCAGGGAGAGACGCGTCCTGCGGCCCGAGGCAGCACCCAGGGCCCAGGGGGGCGAGTTGGCACCTCCCCCTTGCTTCTGTGTTTGTTCTAGAAGAGGGACCTTTATTACCCAGCGTCCGCCAACTCTTTGAGCATTCCTAATGAACCTCAGGCATTGAAGCCTTCCATTTTGTAATTTGTTTAATTAAGGAAAAGTCACGCTTTAGGTGACTCTTTTTTAAAAAATAAAAGCTTTATGTTTTTTTTCTTTTCTCCTTGACTTATGGTTACTGACAGACTGGGTTACATGAAGGCTCTCTTAGGATATTCTGGGAGTTGGGGGGCCATTCCTGTCCTACAGCCCTTGTCTTCCGGACCCTAAGAGAAGACGGCTCACACTCCTGCCAGGCAGACCCGCCTCACTCTGCCGTTTCTCCAACCTCAAGTCCCCCCGCCCAGCGCCCTGTGTAGTTCGAGCCTCGGGCTCCAGGCGCCCAGGAGCAGGGGCTGAGTCCCATGGACTGGTGGGGAGGCCCCCGGACCTGCTCTGCTGATGGTAGATTTGTTTTTTAAATCTTGGGCTCACCTTCCTGCCAACGAAGGTTAGTGCGCTCTCTCTCTTTCTCTTTCTCTTCTAAGTTAATTTTTTAACTAGTCTTTACTCCCGATGTGGGCTCAAAATCACAATCCCGAGATCAGGAGTTGCACACTCTTCCAGCTGGGCCAGCGAGGAGCCCGTCTCTAAAATAAATTGCAGACACACGTAGTACTGTTTTCACTGGGGCAGGAAATGCGGGGCCTGGTCCATTAAACCTCCTTGGAGGCCCAGACAAGCTGGGAGAGTCCTGGGGGCTGGGGAGGCCCGGGAGCCCATCACAGGGGCCTCACAGACTCCTCACGGGCGTGGCTTCGCGACACACATTTGTTGTCACGGAAACGACGTCTAATACTCTCCACTGTCCGCTGTACTTGCGGGTTTCTCTCTAACCGGGAAACACGTTCTTTCCCGGGTGCCAGGTCCTCACCCCTACGCAGGGACAAGCGCTTGAACGCAGGGCCCACAGGAAGCGTGTGCACACCAGCTGGGGGCGGGCCAGGGCCTGGGGGGCCTCCTCCGTTTGGGAGGGTCTGGCAGGGTTTTCCCTGTGGTTGGGATGGTGGCACCTGGAGGTCAGAGGTGCTCAGGGAGCAGGCCGGCTGGCCACTCCCAGCTGCTGCTCGGAGACCTCTGGGAAGGCACAGCCCCTTGCGCTTATGGGCTCTTTGGGCGCCCCCCGCCATGGTGTGTCATCCACCCCGACAGCCAAAGGGGAGCTGAGACCACAGCAGAGCGGCACCGTGGTTCTCTCTGGGTGGAGCCCAGAAAGTGCGCGCGGCCAGCCCAGAGGAAGGGCGGCCTGATGGTGTGTCCGGGGGCAGACACAGAGCAGGAGGGGCTGGGGTGGGATGTCAGGCGACCTGCACTCTCCCAGGTGCCGGGGAGCTGCTGGCGGCCACAAAGGGGTGTGTGTCCGGCCTGTGCCCACACGTGGTTGAGGTGTCCTGGCACATGCAGTGGCCCAGAAGGCAGGAGTCTGTGCCAATCGTGAGCCAGATGCCAGGGATGGAGGGGGACACAGTCCCTGTAACTCGGGCTCAAGTGCATGTGGGACATCGTAAAGTTACTTGTGGACACCTACGTCCTAAAACCCTGCCCTCTTAGTGTGTAAAACGAACTCACACTGGCTTTACTAACACCGTCGGTGTCAGTCCCTCGGTGAGCTCAGTTGTCAGCTTGGCCTGTGGCTCCTGTGCTGCTCAGACTGTGGACGCCTGCGGGTGTGTGTGAGCCGGGCCCGGACGCAAGTGTGTGCTTGTGCGTGAGTGGAGCGCGCGGAGACGCGCGTGGGTGTGGAATTAGGTCGTGTATGGTATGGGCAAAGCCCTGCCGGATGCGCTCACGCGGGAAAGGAGCCACTGGTGGAGGGAGTCTCCCCGACGGCTCCATGGAGGGAGTGCTGCCTGGCGTCCGCACCCCTGCGCTCCTGACGGGTCCTGTGTGCCGGGCGGACCGTCCGTGGACCAGCCTGCCTTCTGCGGGGCTGGCCCCCGCGCCCCCCACTGCCCAGGTCCCTCTGGGTCCTCCTGGACGACACCCCGCCAGGCCACTGGGCCGCAATCTGTCAGGTGCGGTGTGGAAGACCACGTGCCCATGTGATGCCTGTGGCCCCCAGGCCACCTCTTCCTGAGGAACGTTCTCTGCGAAGCACCTTTCCTGGGTTTTTACCTCCTTATTTGATTTTTGCAAGGACTGTCGTTTTAAACTTCGGGTGGCGGTGTCTGTGTTGGGGCCGTCCACGAGCATGTAGTATGGTGAGGGTGCCCCGAGCACCGGCAAACACGGGGCAGGTTCTCAGGAAGGCGGCCCAGGCGGGTGAGGGGAGGCCTGGCACGCTGCCTCCCACACTGGGGAAGGGAGGGCTCGGGCCTTCCCTCACGCCCCGTGTCAGGGACCCTGCTTGCCCTGCGGTCCGTGGGAGCAGAGGGGGGACCGCGACTGGAGGTGGGCAGCCGGGCGGCTGGGAGCGCGAGCTTGTGGTCTCATCCAGGCACAGGGGTCCTGAAGGGACCCCTTTTTGTCTCAGGAAGCTTCTGGTCTGCTCCCTCTTCCTGGGCAGGGCTCTGTCCCCCAGGGCATTTTGGCACGGATGCTGGAATCTGGGATGCTGATGCCCTTGGAAAGGGGGTGGGCCTGTGTGCACTCCCCAGGCCACCTGTGAGGGGCCTAGAGGAGGAAAGACCATTTGGGGAATAGCGAACAGGTTTCCCTGGGGGCTTTCCGAGCAGCAGAAGCAAGAACTTCTTGATAGCAGGGACAGTGAGAGCCTGGTTGCCACAGGGAGTGGCCAGGCCCTCCTGGAAAGAAGTAACAGCGGACGTCCACGCCCGTCCGTTCGGGGCCGGACTGTTTCTGTCCGTCAACACTTTGCGGTTTGGACCAGTTCTCTCAGACCCTTGATGTCCCGCGGTTGGTCCCTTGTGGGTCTCCGTTCCACAGCCCCGCGGAAGGGGGCCCTGCCCAGAACCGCGTGCCTCCAGGGCTGAGCGCTAACCCAGGCCCGTGTCCTGTTTCCTGGGCGCTTCCATTATTTAGAGGCTTGGAACTCTCCCCTCTAGGTGCGCGGTAACGAGGTACAAGATGTCGTAAAATGTCTTTTCAAATAGGAAATCCAGAAATGTGGTTTTTCTGTTAAAAATTACTAATTACACTAGTAATGATTTTCAAAATATAGTGTATTGAGGTTATAATTAATACATAATGATTCTTCAATCTAGCTGTGCATCAATGTCCTCTGCTTTTTTTATTTTAAACACGGGTTTCTAGGCCACGAACTGCCGTCAGAATTTACGTGGGAGAGACCCGGGAATCTGTATTCCTTCCTGACCCCTGAGGGTCTCTATGGCTACTGGTTAAGGCACCTTGACAGTGATTAGCTTGTTAAGTCTCTTTAAATGTTCAGGTTCCTGTAGCTAAAAGCCACCCAGCCACCACCCATCCGTCTGTTTAACATATGGGGACGTTTTCTGTGCCAGGCACAGTCTTAGGCTCTGGAGACAGCCAGGAAGCAAAGAGGACTAAGGCAGGCAGAGGTTCCTGCCCTCACGGAACTCACGCTCTCTGATGAAAGGGACGATGGCTGAGATGACGCTGAGTGTTGAGGAAGACAGGAGCTGGGAGGACGCCGCGGGCTTTGGGTTGGGGACCGAAACCTGGGAAGGTGGCCGGGGAAGGCAGCTTCTGAAGAGGGAAGGAAGGAGGGGGCGGCTCTGTAAAGGCAGGGCCCTTGGGGCCGAGGGAAGCCGGCAGAAGCCTGAGGGTGGTGGGAAGGGCCGTGGGTGCCCTTGTGCTGGAGAGCAGAGAAGGGAGGACGGGTCTGGGCCTCGTGGGCCAGGGGGGGGCCCTTGGAGCAGTGCGAGCTGAGTGGCAGCTCACAGCTGCGTCCTGGGGTACAGGCCTGGGCCTGTGCGGTGCCGACGGGCTCACCACGCTGTGGGCGTGTTTTCTGAGGACCGGCCCCTCACGCCGTCTTCTTTTCTGTCCCCTTTCTAGAGCACTATAGTTACGCCTCCCCTGGCGTCCGCTCCGCTCTGCTTCCCGGCTCGGCTCAGCCCTCGCTGCCCGCTCCAGGCCACGACTTGCAGACCTCGGCCCCGGGCGTGCCAGCCACCGCGGCCAGTCAGCCCCCAGGCTATGGGGGGGCAGTGGACAGCGGGCCCTCGAGCTACTTCCTCTCCTCCGGCCACGCCAGGCCCAACGGGGCCCCCCCTCTGGAGAGTCCCCGCATCGAGATCACCTCGTACATGGGGCTGCACCACGGCAACAACCAGTTTTTCCATGACGTGGAGGTGGACGACGTCCTTCCCGGCTCTAAGCGGCCCCCCTCCACGGCCACCCTGAATCTGCCCAACCTGGAGGCCTACCGGGACCCCTCGTGCCTGAGCCCGGCCAGCAGCCTGTCCTCCCGCAGCTGCAACTCCGAAGCCTCGTCCTACGAGTCCAACTTCTCGTACCCCTACGCGTCCCCACAGACGTCCCCGTGGCAGTCGCCCTGTGTGTCCCCCAAGACCACGGACCCCGAGGAGGGCTTCCCCCGTGGCCTGGGGGTCTGCGGCTTGCTCGGCTCCCCCCGACACTCGCCCTCCACCTCGCCCCGCACGAGCGTCACGGAGGAGAGCTGGCTGGGGACCCGCACGTCCCGGCCCTCGTCCCCCTGCAACAAGAGGAAGTACGGCCTCAACGGCCAGCAGCTGACCTCGCCGCACCACTCGCCCACGCCGTCCCCGCGCGGCTCGCCGCGGGTCAGCGTCACCGACGACACGTGGCTGGGCAACAGCACCCAGTACACCAGCTCGGCCATCGTGGCCGCCATCAACGCCCTCAGCACCGACGGCAGCCTGGAGCTGGACGGCGTCCCCGTGAAGGCGCGCAAGACCGCCCTGGACCACTGTCCCTCGGTGGCGCTCAAGGTGGAGCCGGCTGGCGAGGACCTGGGGACCACGCCGCCCACGGCCGAGTTCCTGCCCGAGGAGTTCCCGTCCTTCCAGCACGTCCGGAAGGGTGCCTTCTGCGACCAGTACCTGTCGGTGCCGCAGCACCCATACCAGTGGGCTCGGCCCCGGTCCCCGACAGCCTACGGCAGGTGAGCGTGGCCAGTTTCTCGGGGCCGGGGGCGGGGGCCCAGGGGCAGGCGCGGGGCTGGTTCCTCCCAGGCTCTGGCTGTGCAGACGCCGTCCATCTCCGCGGGTGCCCAGCGCCCCCCACCACCCGCCTGTGTCTGCGTCCAAGCCCCCTTCTCACGAGGACCCCCGGAAGGCCTCGTCCTCACGGAGTAGCCTCCTTCAAGGTCCCGTGTCCTCCTCAGGCCGCGTTCCCGGGGCGGGGGTCGGGCTGCAGCCGGAGAATTCCGGTGGGGACAGGCCTGTCCCTAACAGAGACCGGCACAGCCGTCCACTCGCTGTTTCGAGTTGTTTTTTCTTTTACTAAAACCAAATGACGCTTTCCTGCTTGTGTGTTGGCCTCCGCCGCACCCGCTTCCCTCTCCCTCCTGACTGCTGCGGTGCGCGTGCAGATGGGGCCTCAGCTCGGCGCTCCCAGAGCGGCGGGGCCGCTCCCCGCAGCCAGCAGCATGACGCGGAGCCGGGTCCCAGGAGACAGGCGCCCGCTCCCTGGCAGTCTGGCGACGAGGAGCTCAGCGGTGCTCCCAGCGCAGCCGCCCGGGTTGTTGACTTTCTTCCGGGCGGTGTGCAGGCGGCCGCCCCTCCGCTGGGCCCACTCACTCAGCGGCCGTTTTTATTTTTAACCAAACAGCTTTCCCGACAGGTGGGCCGCTAATGACCCCTGGCAGAATGCTTTTTGCTCCGGGATTTTTATCAGGCATGAAACGTGCCTCCCTCGTGGGTGTGCCCCCCTCCCTGGGAAGCACAGCTGCTCGCGTGGGGCCCGGCGTCCTGGGCTCCGCCGTCGTGTTCCCTGCCGCTCTTCTGCTGGAGGGCCTTCTGGAAGCAGCTCTGGGGAGAGGGACCCGTGGGTTCCAGCAGCGCGCGCCCTGCGGTGAGGAAGGCCAGCCGGCAGGGGGACACAGTTGTGTGTGTGGGCGGCTCTGCTGAGAGCCGTGTCGGGGCAAGGGCCTGGGACCCAGCTGGGCTGCAAGGGGGTCATTGAGCTGTAGGTTCCGGGCAGGCCCAGCTGCACCTTCTGAAAGTCTGTGGCAAAACCCCAGCAGGACACGGACAGTCCCTAGGACACTGAGACGGTCATCACCCGCTTTCTAGTGGCATGTGGTGTAGACGAGGCGTCAGCCAAGACAAAACGAGACGGCAGGACTTCCCCTGATTTCTCCTGACTGGCGGTAGGATGTGTCCGCATCTCTACCCCAACGTGGGCACAGGTCTCATCGAACAAGCGTATCTCGGCACCAGGCTTTAATGCATGACATGAGAATTTTTTAAAAACCTGTTTGGAGGTGTTTAAAAAAATTTAAGAACATGTTATGCTCACTGTATTCTCTCTATAATTATTAAGTAAAAATAAGATTAGTTGGAAGCCAACTAGCTCGAACCGGGCTCCCCCGGTGCAGTTTACCACCACCTGCGTTTTCATGGACCAGGAAGGCCACAGTCTCGTGACTCTGGGGCCCTCTCTGGACCCCGCGGTCAGGACTGCAGGTGGTCTGGTCTCCAAGGCACAGGGCCGCGTGGCCGTGTCGCTCAGCCCCGTGTGTCAGTCTGTGCTGGGCTGTGGTCATGGCACCACTGGCCGGCAGCTTCCCAACACACGTTGGTTTTCTGGGGTTGGAGGTTCGGGTGCCGGCGGGGGGCGGCTCCTTCTGAGGCTCAGACAGCTGCGCCTCTTCTGTGCTCCTGTCTGTGCCCGCATGTCCCCAGTTTATGAGGACGCCAGCCACTGGACCAGGACCCACCCAGTGATCGTGCGAGAACGTGACTTGTGTCCACACACGGTCACGTTCTGGGGTCCCGGGGTGAGGACTCTGAGCCCTGAATCTCGGGGGACGGAGTTCGGCCCAGAACAGCTAGCGTCGCATCTGCTGAGGACGGCAGGGCGCCTCTGACCGCGGCCCGCTGCCTGCTCCCCGGAGGCTCACTGGGCCGGGGGCGTCTGCGGGGATCGGGGCTCCGGGCGGGTCACCGTGGGTGCGGACCAGGCGAGTCTGACTGCACAGTCGGGACGCGTGCTGCCGCTGTCGTGTTCAGACCTCCAGCAGGGATCGCGTGGTCCTGGGGGGCAGATGCCCCGTCGCAGAGTGGGGAGAGGTGGGGGGAGCGGGCGCCCGACATTCCTGTGAGCTCAGCTGGCAAACAAAACCCGTGGAGGCCCCCAGCTCCCCTCAGGAGGTGGGAAGCTAACCTTTCCCCCTGTTTTGGTTCCACATCGAAATGTGTTTCCTGGTCCCTGTTCTGTCCCCTCTGGTCCTGTCAGCTGGCGCCCCAGGGCAGCTGGGGCCAGGGTCAAACAAGAGGTCAGTGTGTTGTCCCCGCAGGCGAGGGTGGCCCGACCAGACTTCCTGTTGCACGCCCGCCCGCTCCGAGGACGCCAGCAGGGTCTCCGCCGCGCAGCCCCAGGGCCGCGTTTTGCACAGTCTCTCGAATCTGGAACGGAGGATTTGCCACCCGTCTGCCTTTCCTGTCACTGCGTGTGGTTTTAACTCCATCCTGCCAGGAAAAGGACCTTTTTAATGAAAAGTGTGCCGCACTAGCCTTTCCCAAGGACTTTGGGTGCTTTGGGATCTTTTACCTGGGTGGGAGGTTTCTTTCTCCAAACAACCTTTACGGTGACCTCCCCACCGCGTGCAGAGCATTCTGATAGGCCCGCAGCAGTCAAAGACGAGCCTTCTTCCTGCCTTTGATGAAGTTACGTGATGTCGGTGAAGCTAATAGTAGTATTTGACAGACTTCGTAGTTTTATAGTTTAAATTTCTCGTAGAGTTTAACAGAATGACATGTCTGTTCTTAAAGCTTGGGACAGGCACAGAAATCGGAATGACCTGCTAGAGTCCCCCCGCCCCCCGAAAGCCCGGAACTGTAAGCTCTCTCTTTTAAGCTCGTTCAGAAGAGAGGGTTTCTGGGATGAGGTTGCCAGTGGGAACAACCAGCTTCACAGGTCAGCCTTGATGCCCCTGCTGGGGCCGCTGGTGTGTGTGCAGAGGTGGGGGTGCTGGGGGTGGGGTTGGTGCCGGGGAGGACTGTGTGTGCAGAGATGGGGGCTGGGGAGGGCCGTGTGTGCAGGGGCGGGGCTGGGGAGGGCCGCGTGTGCACTGCTTGCCACGGAAGGTGTGATGTGAGAGGTCTGAGCTCTGAGCAGCTTTTCAGAGCCTTGGACGACGTTCCGTCTTGTGAGGCTTCTTTCTGGTTTCTCAGAGTTCACGGCTGATGCTCTAGAAGGTTCCTTGTGGTGCGTCCTGACTCCCAGCTTGAGATGAGCCCGGGGTCTGCATTCCGGTTCGTGGATGCTGGCCACGGGCAGGAGGCTGGGGAGCGTCTGCCCGACCTCTCCGGTGCCTTTCCCAGGTTGTGTGCGCAGGATGTGGCCCTTCTTTCTGCTTTTGATGTGACGTCGTGAGTGTCCGTTAATGGCACAGGAGGAGAAAGGAACTCACGTACTCGTGTGCTCCTGGAGCAGAGAAATAGTTTGGATCTTTACGGCTCTGCGGTTGGATTTTGAAGTCAAACCACTGAGTCGTGAGCCGCGGGAGGTTCCATAGAAACTCAGAGCACGGGGGGTTCCACTGTCCGTCTGACCCACGCCCGTCCTCGTCCTGCTCACATCCATCCTGTGCACGGGGGGCCGGGCTGTGCTCGGGCGTCCTGCATCCCTGGGGCCGTCCCGTGTGCCCCGCACCAAGGTTTCGCAGACCGTGAGGAGACCTGGCTGGGAGGAAGGATCCGGAGACGCTGTCCGTGACCACAGACTAGTCAGAAATCATTTCTGCTCAGACGTTTTCCTTTGAGGAAAGTGTGTGTGAGGGGGTCGTGCACCCCCCACCCCCACCGCGTGTGTGCGGCCAAGCGTCTGCCCGGGGTCACAGCGAGTCGGGAGACTGACTGTCCTCGTTGCAGACTGGACCTTCCATGCAACGCGGGACGTACTTGCCCGTGTTTCTTGGGCGTGTACACGGAGCGCGTTTACAGATCGTGCCGGGTTTACCCATTTATAAATTGTTCTTAGCGGTCGTCTGGGAGCTGGGGTTCAAGTCACAGGATTGGGCTGGTTTTCAGTAAAGAAAGCAACTTGCCTCAGGTCCGCCTTCTCACGTGGTCGGTGTGGGGTCCGCATGCCGCCCCCACATAGGCTGTGGGGACAGGTGTCCTGCGAGGGTGTGTGCCCCGAGCCCCACGTGTCCCAGAGTGTTTGGCACAGCGCTGCGAGGGCCCGGGCATCCGGGTGCCTCTGGACCCCACTGGGGGCAGCACTGACTCCCTCCAGCCCCGGAGCAGCTTCCCCTCGGGAACGCAAAAGCACGCGCGGAGCTGAGAATCGGGAAACCGTGCACAGCCTTTCCCGCCCTTGGGGTCAGGGAGGCTTGGGGGCTCTGCAGCTCTGTCCAGTGGTGGCTTTGCAGGCTGCTGAGGCAGACGGCCCATGTACTCTCCGGTGCTTGTAGGTCGAAGTGGGCTGTGGCCAGAGCCTGTGACCGGTCAGTAGGATAACACAGGGTGTGCTCATGCGCAGAGGGGCCGCACGCCGCTGGAAAACGCCAGTTTTCTCCTGTCATCACTGTCCACGGTGACTATGGCTGTCCGTGGGGCAGGTTTGCCGCGACGGGTGTGCTGCTCCCAGCTCAGCCCTGCGGCACCATCAGGGGTGACAGACACGCCGAGAGCCTGGCGTGTCCCTCCCCCTGGGTGTGGGGGCCAAGGAGCTTGGTGCCAGGGAAGGCAGCGTGTGCCTCGAGGGGGAGGAGCTTGATGGCCAGCACAGGCCCCGAGCCCTGCAGTCTCAGAGCCAAGCATCTGAGCCGTCTGGGCTGTGCCGCAGGTCCCCTGTTGGAGTGGAGGGGACCAAGTGACCGGGGCATTACCGGGCGGCTGTCTTGGAGCCACTCTGCAGGCTTCATGCCTCCTTCGTGCCCCATCCTGCGGGAACTTGGAGATTCTGGATTTCTTGACTTCTGTAAGCAATCTG